TGCTATGCTTCATAGAGCTGGACAATGACTAGGGATGATAGGAGAGTTGATGCCTTTGAGCTTTGGTGTTAGAGAAGAGTATTGAATATACCATGGACTGTTAGGAGAACAAACAAGTTCATCCTGGAGTGGGTGAAGCCAGGCTGCTCCTTGGAGGCAAGGATTCTGAAGCTTCATCTGACATACTTTGGACATGTTTCAAGGAGGGACCAGTCCTTAGAGAGGGACATCATGCTTGGGAGGGTGGAGAGTGCAGGAGAGGAAGACCCTCAATGAGATGTATTGACTCAGTGACTGCGGTATTGGGGGTAAGTGTGTCGGAGAGAGTGAGATTGGCAAGGGATAGAGTAGGGTTTAGGGCTGTTGTACATAGGGTCGCTATGAGTCGCAAGTGAATGGACGGCACATAACAACATATAATGCCTACTTGTAGAATAAAGGAAGGAATTTTAGAAAGTATTTCCTAATGATATATTGTAAGTGCTCAGAGACAAACTACACTTGAGGCATAATGATGGCGTCTGAGGCAGCAGCTAGCAGAGGCGCTATAGACAGGGCCACGGCCACAGACTCACCGTTACATGCCATTGTCAGGTACTTGGGCGTCACACGTGCCCTGCCAGCTCAGCCGAGGTTTTCTGAATTACTAAACATCTCTTGCTGCAAGTCTCATTAAAATGCCCCATTTACTTGACATATTTTAAAGCCATGTAGGGGGAAAAAACCACACATACAACCTCTTGTATTTATAGTAAATAAGAAATAGGAAATAAGCATTCTAGGCTTGAATAATTAATTAGGAACAGCTTTTCTACCCTGTCCTTGTCATTTAAAAGTCATAGAGAATGAAGACCAGTTACATTGCATTAAACTGCCCCAGATTTGACTTCATAGTCTTTGTTATCTCTAGTCTATTAAATACACTCCTTTTCAGCACTTGGGAATCCCTGGATGGTGCTAATTAAAGTATCCCTGGCTGCTCATTGAAGGGTTGAAGGTTCAGGTCCACCCAGAGGCATGCAGACAAAAGGCCTGGCAGTCCACTTTAGAAAAATAAGCCATGAAAACCCATGGAGCACAGTTCTACTCTAATGTCCCCTGTTGGGTGTTGGATTGACTACCTCTTCAACATTGCCCTCCATGTCTATTCACTCTCCCAGCCAGGCCCTGGTCATCTCAGGCTGTAATGTGCACCCACATCACCCCATCTGCAGGTCAGTGGTGGGGCCCAAGAGGCTCTCTTTCCATCAGGCTCCCCGGTGGCTCCACAGCGGGCACTTTTCAGTAGTTAGATAGCTACTTAATCGACAGTTCTTTCTGACATGCTGCCTTGAGCTTGGGACCAGGCACAGAAACCAAAAGGGAATGGGGATAAGAATAGCTAAGGCTCTATTGAGTGAGTGTTCTTTATATGACAGGCTCTGTGTGAAACTCTTTCTATAGATTATGACTTTTGATCTTTGCAGCACTCTTGTGAGATAGATACTATTAGCGTTCTGACTTTATAGATGAAAACATCTGTGGTCACTAAGGAGGCTGATTGTCATTCTTCTAGGAAGGAAGGTGACGCCTGCAGGCCTGCACACCGCCCAGGGCAGTCTTGTGGCAGAAACATATAAGTGCTTCCTAATTAGACAAGGAGACTCCACTCTCCCTTGAGCTTCTGGAAAGATTCCCTGCCCTTGAGATGTAAGAGGAAATTCAGAGCTAGAATAGGAGCTGACCCTTTGCCCACCTGTCAGACACACTCCAAATTTCAAAAATGCCTCTCTTTCAAGCTTCTCAACACTTCACAATATTTTGACATTGAGAGGGAAAATGGAAATGCTTTGAAACGTTTCTCTTTCTTGGAGTGTCCCCCCCCACTCCGACCATGTGACTAAATTGAAGTTGAGTCATAGGATTCCAGTTTAACATATGCAGTTACTATAGCAATTGAGGTTTCCTTAGTAACAGTTGCAAAAAATAATCTGGCCCCAATTAATAATACATTTTAAAGCTCTTTCTACACTACACCCAACAACCCAGATTTTTTGGAGGGTGGCGGTGGCTCCCAGAACCAGATATTTCAGGTGGTGTCATTTGCACTGATACAGATAATATTTGCATGTGGTGAACTGGGTTGGAAAGGATTGAAAAGGGTTGTATCAAATGTTGGAGGAATCTAATTGGAAAAGTCCACCAGCAAGCTAATGTGAATCTAGTTTCCAGAATGTGGGAGTTTAATGCTGAAACCTTATGCTGGATTCTGAATGTGCCTGAGGGCTTTCCGCATTTGAGGATAGGAAAAGGCAGACGACTGGGCTTATTAATGTAAAAGATAAAAGCGGAAGGGTGGAGGGGTGGGACTTGGGACTCCTCACAAGTGGATTGTTGGTGTGTTATTGGAAATTTGAGATGGTCCCTCGCCACGTGGAGGAGCCTGTAGCACAGTGTGTTATGTGTTGGGTTGCTAATTGAAGGGTTGGAAGCTCCATTATCCCTGCCATCCTGTACTCCTGTTTTACAGCCTTGAAAGTAAAAGGTTGCCTTGGGTCAGAATCAATTTGATGAGGGAGAGTGCAGGCCTATGCTAGAGCCCAGGTTGTGCAGTGGTCAAAGCATTCAGCTACCAACCATAATGTTAACGGTGCAAACTCACAAATCACTCAGAAGGAGGCTTCTGTAGGGTCATTATGAGTCTAAATCAACTCGAAGGCTATGAGTTTTGTAGGCATGTGACGTGGAACAACAGTCTTAGAGAGAAAGTTGCCTGATTTAACCACTGGGCAAGGAGTGTCCTCTAAGCTGCTGTCACAGTAGTAGTGTAAGGTTTCTGCACCTGCCACAGCTCAGCACGTTAAATCCCTTCAGCCATTCAAAACAGTTGTGTTTCTGGGGCAGCCCAGCGACAGTGTGTGCCTTTGAAAAGTCAGCGATTGCTGTGGTTCATGGGACTCGGTCCTGGATATTGTCTTTCCACTCCCAAGTTTAGAATGAGCCAGCCCTGCTGGGGTAAGAGACCCAGGGTCTGCAACAGCTCCCGGTGCTGAAACCCCCTCTGACTTTCAGAACAAAAACTTGACCAGCAGGATTGCTGCAGACCTTGCATGCGCGTCCCTCCGGGCACCAGCCCTGTGGAGTAGCCTTGCGCCCTCCCCAGGTTGATCTCTGTGTCTGAAATGCTGAATGTAAAGAGAAGGGTGGAGAAAGAATGAGAGTTGTACTATCAGTTCCCTGGAAAGAACTTATAATTTTTTTTTTCCTTTTCCCCCACATTCTCAGAGAGATGGGTGGTTAGGGGGAAGTAAGCCAAGTATGATAATGATGGAGTGGGTGAGATCTCAAATTACCTTCATAAGATATATTTCATGCGCCCTTGGCTTCTTGCCACCGTAAAGGTGAATACAGTCATTAATTAGCAGGTAAGGTGGCACTCCTAGCCCTCCCCTCTGTTTCTAAGCAGGTTGGAGAGGGGAGGAGGAGGGGGCTGGAGCTGGCTCTATTCTGTCATTGCTGTCATCTCAGGCTTCTCCCTCTCTTGACCCAGAGCCCCCCCCCCCCAGCATCCTCTCATTATGTACTCAGGTACCTCTCCAGTGAGGCATTGACAGCTCAGCGATGGAATTCTCACCTCTGTAGGAGAGCTGGGTCGTTTCCAAGCCAGTGTGCTTCATGTGTATAACTACTTATTTGCCAGAAGAGACAAGGGTGGCTTCTTGACTGAGACAGACTAGGAAGAAAGGCCTGGTGATCTACTTCCAAAACTCAGCCAGTGCAGACCTAAACATCTCAGTGGTACTGTCCACAGCCCCTCATGGGGTGGTGCAGCACCAGGCAGTGTTTTGTGTAGGATCACCACGAATCAGGGGCCGACTCTGTAGCAGCTGTCAGCAACCACCATTTCTTTCAGCACTCTCTCAGCTAGTCGTTCACTTCTTCATTCTCTTACCTACTTAGGCACGTATTTCTGAGAGCATTCAGTGAGCACTTTCAGAGGTGCTGCTGGGCTCAGTGGTGATTAGACAGTAAGTTCCGTATCCTCTAGCATATCCCCTGTGTGTAGCATCACATGGAGCCCTGAATAGGCACTTTACAAATGCTGGCTGACTGAGTGGAGGAAAGCTGAGTCTGTACTGTTGAGGAGCTCACAGTCCAGGGTAGAAGAGAGCAATGAAGAAGATTGTCTGGTGAGCAGATGATGAAGCTTCGCAGAGAGTGTGATTGAAAGGACAGGGCAGAGGCATTGAGTTGAGTGGTGTGAGAGTGGGGAGTGAGGACTAAAAGGTGAATGATTGCAAAGGAGGGGCAGAAGGAGATGGGCAGAGAGAATAAGAGGGGTACGGACCAGAGGTCCGCAGGACTTCTCCTGCATACACTGGGTGAACTGGGCTGGGGATGTCATGGGAAATGCATGTAGACTGTTGCATGAGATCCAGATCCTAGAGGGATTTTGGTAAAAAAGAATCACTTTGTCTGTATTCTGTGGAAGCCTTTAAAACTTTTCTAGCAAGATGTTGCGGTGAGGTTTGTGTTTTAACTGATCGCTGTAAGTGTTGTGGTGGCAGAGAGAATGGTCTCCCAGGGCCCCACCTCAGCATCCTCTGGTTACCTGTTGGCCCCTTATTTCTCCAGTGGGGCAGTGGTGACTCAGTGGTAGAATTCTCACCTTCCAAATGTGTGACCCAGGTTCAGTTCCAGCGGAGTGTTCCCTGTGGGAAACCAGCACTCATCGGCCAGTGGAGACTTGGAGGAAAGGCCTGGTGAATTATAGGAGGGAGGATGAGGGCCTAAGCCAGATGGACAGTAGGAGGAGATAGCAGAGGTGTGCTCTGGAGTAGAAATGGTTCCAAGCTCTTCTCCTTCCCTGATGTGTGTGTTGGAGGGAGCCCATCCGTTTTAACTACTCTCAGATTGTGCTGAGAAAAACCAGATTTGGAGCCTGAAGGTGAGACTTGGGAAGGACTACATATCCATGGGGGTGTTGTCAGTCCTACTGAGCTGTCCCCTTTCATCCACAGTGACAAAGCTGCAGGTGAGCAAGTCCAAGCGTTCCCTCACCCTGGTGGAAAACAGGCCAATTCAGCTCAGCTGCTCAGTCAAGTCACAGACCAGCCAGAACTCCCACTTCGCCGTGCTCTGGTATGTGCACAAGCCCTCGGATGCTGATGGTAAACTCATCCTCAAAACCACCCACAACTCTGCCTTCGAGTATGGCACCTACGCCGAGGAGGAGGGCCTGCGTGGGCGGCTTCAGTTCGAGAGGCACGTGTACGGCGGCCTGTTCAGCCTCACTGTGCAGAGAGCTGAGGTCAGCGACAGTGGCAGCTACTACTGCCACGTGGAGGAGTGGCTGCTGAGTCCCAACTATGCCTGGTACAAGCTTGCGGAGGAGGTTTCAGGGCGCACGGAAGTCACGGTGAAGCAGCCAGGTAAGAACGGAGTGTGGCCATCATGGGCTGGGTAGGGGATTTGGTGCAGAGACTTTAATAAGAGGTGAGCTTTGAGGGGACCCACCCGGCAAGACCATCCACATAGTTTACTCCATAAGTACATGAGCCACCATCCTGCTGTATGGTGAGTCTTTTCCATTTTACCTGGATATGGTCCTGATGCTGATGGCAAAGTCAGGTGCACCCTTGACTCTGCTTGTATGTTCAAGGACAAGGCCTGAAAGGGCAGATGTGCATAGCAAGATGCAGCAAGGCAGAACTGATGCAGCCCCAGCTGATCTCCATATCCATGACTCCTGCCTCGCTTTGCCATACTTGCTTCTGCCCTCTTCCTTGCCTTCCATCCCCAGTAAGGACAAGCCTGCCTATGTCCCAAACTGAATCCCGCCTCTGGTGGCCTCAGAGAGCCTATGAGTGCAGGCCTTGCCTTATGGATGGTGCCTGCCCTGTTCACAGCACCCATCCCATGCCAGGACATTTCCAGGTAGGGGGACTTCACCCCAGCAGATACCAGTTCCACTTCCTGGCAGCCCTGAAAGCTGACAGTTCCCCTCAATGTGAAGGGGCCCACTTCCCTGTAATTCCCATCTTAGGTTTTAAATGTGTTCCTGGGATGACTCAAGAGAAGTGCAAGTCACTTCCTTTCTGATATGTCAAAGACTCTGTTGTGTATTTCTCTGCCTTTCCTTTTCCTTTAGAAAAATTTTTAATGGTTTGTATACAATAATTTGTTTATGTTATGTTTAATTCATGTTCATTGTGTTTTAGACAATCTTTCATTTACATTGTGTTTCATAGAATCATTCATACACATTATATTTTGTATAATTACACACATTGTATTTTGTATAATTATTATTGATCTGTGTCTATTATTGTCCGGTCCTTTCAAGTCCTTGAATCTTTCCTATTCCTTCACTACCCATCAGCCCACTTATCTCTACTATCCTAGTGATTTCTCCCCTTTTTATTTCCTGTCCCTTTTCCCCTTTCCTCATTTATACACATCTTACCAATCATCTTTCTATTTTTATAATAATGATCTTATGTATATAGTATAGTAGAATAGTAATGGTCTTACATAGTACAGTACTGGTCCTTATGAGACAGTTAGGTCATTCCTATGTGATATAATATTTTACAAAATCATTCTTTCTTAGTGCTGCATCATATCCCACTGTGTGATTGTACCATAATTTAAGACCATTTGTTTGTCATGAATAATTTCTCCATCTATTTGTTTGTTGATATGAGCATTTGGTTACCATATTCTTGCTATTGGAGTAGTGATGTTGAGAACATAAGCGTACATACCTCTGTTTGTGTCTCAGTTCTAATTTCCTAGAAGTATATTTCTAGCAGTGCAATAACTCAGTCATATGTGATGTCTGTGTTCACCTTTTTGAGGAAACGCCAAACTACCTTCAAGAATGGTTATACCATTTTACAGTCTCACCAGTACTGCATGATAGTTCCAGTCTCTCCACATCTTCTTCAGCATTTATTTCTTACTGTCCTGTTAAACTTTGCCACTGCTACTGGGGTGAGATGGTATCTCATTGTGGTTTTGATTTTCATCTCTCTTATTGCCAGTGATTTTGAGCATTTCTTCATGTGTCATTGGCCATCGAGATGTCCACCTTTATGAAAAATCTTTTCATATCTTTTGCCCATTTTGTTATTGAATTATTAGTCTTTTTCTTGTAGAGGCCCTGTAGTTTTCTATAAATTTTCATTGTGCATTTCTGGCTGTATTTCCAAAGCTATTTTTGCCATAGGCTAGGCCTTCTGAGTTTGGTCCATATTGTCTCTTAAGATCTTTATTATTTTGGGCTTTACTCTTAGGTCCCTGATCCACATTGAGTTGATTTTTTTTATGTGATCTGTGATGTGAATCCTGTTTGAGTTTTGCAGGTAGATGTCCAGTTTTGCCAGCCCCATTTGTTGAAGAGATTGTCTTTCCCCCATTTAATTGGTTTTGATAGCTTGTCAAATACAAGTTGACCATAGGTAGATGAGTTACTGTCCGGGTTCTTAGTTTGTCTGTCATTGTACCTTCCTGTTTCAGTTACTGAGAATGTGTAGTAGATTTTGAGATCAGAAAGTATTATGCCTCCCACTTCATTTTTCTTTTTCAGAAGAGCTTTGCTTATTTGGGGTCTCTTTCCTTTCCAAATAAATGTGCAAGTTGCCTTTTCTATCTCTTTGTATTATTGTTCCTTGTAGTAATATTTTGTAGCTTTCCTTATAAAGGGCTTTTGTGTCTCTAATTACGTTTATTCCCAAATATTCCATCTTGTAGTTCCTATCATAAATGGTATTGTTTCTTTTTCTCTGGGGTTTGTTTGTTTATTGCTATAGAGAAATCTCACTGATTTTTATATAATGATCTTGTATCCTGTCAATCTGCTAAATCAGTCTACTAGGTCTAACAGTCTTTTCTTGCATCTTTATAGTTTCCTGTGTACACATATTGTACACACATATTGTCTGCATATGTTGTTGTTGTTGTTGTTATGTGCCGTCGAGTCGCCTGCGACTCATAGCGACCCTAGTGACCCTATAGCAACAGTTTTACCACTTCTTAGCCAATTTGGATGCCTCTTACTTTTTTCTCATCTTAATTTTCCTAACAAGTACGGCCAATACAGTATTGCATAGGAGTGTGACAGTGGGCATTCTTGTCTTGTCCCTATTCACAGGGACCTTTAGTCCTTCTCCATTGAGATTGATGTTGGCTCTTGGTTCACATGTATACTTTTCACTATGTTCAGGAAATTCCTTTCTAGTCCTATTTTGTTGAGTGTCTTCAATAGGAAGGTGCGTAGGATTTAGTTGAAGCCCTTTTCTGCATCAACTGATAGGATTATGTGGATCTTTTTCTTTGCTTTGTTAATGTGATGAATTATATTGATCATTTTTCTTATGTATGTGTTTTTCTCATATAACAGGTTTTGCATACCTGTTATGAATCCCACTTGGCCATGCTTAATTACTTTTTAATATACTGTTGGATTCTATTGGCAGGATTTTGTTAAAGATATTTGCGTCTATGTTCATAGAGGTATTAGTCTATAATTTTCTTTTTTGGTAATGTCTTTGCCTGCTTTTGCTGTTAAGGTTATGCTCGCTTCACAGAATGACTCTGGGAATGTTCCTTCTTTTTTATTTTTATTTAGGTGATTTAAGTAGAATTGGTGATAAATCTATTCTGAAAACTTGCTGGAATTCACCTATGAAGCCATCTGGGCCAGGATTTTTTTTTTTGGGGGGGGTGTGAGGTGGGGATTGAGAAGAGTCTTTTTATGAACTCAATTTCTTCTTTTGTGATGGGTCTGTTCAAGTGTTCTACATCTGTCTGTGTCATCCTGGGTAGGGTGTTGGTTTCTAGGAATTTGTCTATTTCCTCTATTAGGTTTTGTTATTGTTAGGTGCCATTGAGTGGAGTACGACTCATAGCGACTCTGTGTCCTGTCCTGTGCCATCCTCTCAATCCCTGACATACTCAAGCCCATTGCAGCAGTCACTGTGCCAATTCACCTGGTTGAGGATCCTCTCCTTTGCTTTCCCTCCACCTTTCCAACCATGGTGTCCCTCAAAGGAATAGCCTCTCCAGAAACATGCCCAAAGTAAGTGAAATTTTATCATCTTGGCTTCCAGGGACCACTCTGGCTACACCTTCTCCAAGACATATCTGTTTGTTCTTTTGACAGTCCATTGATATTCAGTGCTTTTCTCCAACACCACAGTTTTAAAAATTTTAGTTCTTTGTCTGCCAACTTTATTCATTTTCCAGCTATCAGATGCATAGAAAGGGAGTTAAAAGACCATGGCCTGAATCACCCACTTCTTAATCCTCAAAGTGGCATCTTTCCTCTTCAATAATTTAGAGAATCCCTTACTGCAGACTTCCACGATACAATATGTCTCTTGATATCCTGACTGCTGGTACCAAGTATATTGATTGTGGATCCAAATAAGATGAAGTTATTGACAGTTTTAATTTTTTTTCTCCATCTATCATGTTGCCTGTTAGTTCACTTGTGAGGATTTTTGGCTGACACTGAAAGTATCATATGGTCATATGACCATATGACCCTATGACACAGGAAGTACCATATGATCACAGGCCAGTGGTAACAAAGGAAGATGTTTAAGCTGCACTAAAGCCATTGGCAAAAAAATAAGGTCCTAGGAATCAATGGAATAACATTTGACATGTTTAAAATGACAGATGCAGCCCTGGACATGTTCACCAGTCTCTGCTTGGAAATTTGGAGGATACTTGCTTCATCAGTTGACTGGAAGAGATCCATTTTTGTTCCCAAGAAAGGTGGTCCAACAGAATGTAGAAATTGTTGAACAATTTCATTAATACTGCCTTGCAAGCAAAATACTACTGCAGGTTATTAAAAAACAGCTAGAACAAGACTTAGAGAACTGCCAGAAGTTCAGCCTGGAGTTGACTGTGTCACCAGGGATATTGTTGTAATGTCAGATGGATCTGGGTTGAAACCAAAGAACACCAGAAGAATGTCTGTCTGTGCTTTCTTGACTCTATGGATATAGCATCTGACTGGATAATGACAGATAATGGCTAACATTGAAAAGAATGGGAATCCAGAACAATTGATTGTGCCTGTGTGAAACCTAGACCGAGACCAAGAAGCTGTTGGGCAACAAAGCAAGGGAACATTGTATGGGTTAAAATTAGGAAAGGTGTGTGTCAGATTGTATCCTTTCTCCATAACTTTTTAATCTCTATGCTGAGCAAATTCTTTGAGAAGCTGAACTTTGAAGAAGAATGTAGCATCAGGATCGGAGGAAGACTCTTTAAAATCTTTGTTATACTGATGCCACAACCCTGCTTGCTGAAAAGAAGGAGGACTTGAAGCATTCGCTGAAGAATGCTAAGTACTGCATCCTTCAATATGGATTGCATCTCAACATCAAGAAAACAAAAATCTTTACTTTTCCCT